CACACTTGGTCAAGCTCGGGGTATTTCTCGATTGCTCAACCGAGAATGTACGTGTCCGTGTCCCCTGTAAAAAAAAAAACAAGCGCAAAGCGCGGGCAGAGAGGGTCTGTATGGAGCAATTGGAAAGGTGTTTGGTCTTGCTTCAAAATACACGATAAAAGTTCATGGTGCAGACAATCCTTTTCAATCAGGCCTCAAGGTGGACGTCATCCCGGGAGTACGTTTTACAACACTATCGACAACTCCAAGTGCAATATCAAAACTCCGACCGTAGCAGCACTTACACGCTGAAGTACGATCGGCACAATTGACGCCACGGCCACAGAATCGCCCAAGGTTCCTGGAGAAAACAGACGCTGTTTTATACCCAGCCCTACGTCACCCATCTCTTACCTTGGCAAAATGAAAGCCATGGCTGGTTGTTGCCGGATTCACTCTTCCAATTGGCATAAGGCGTGTTCCATTTCGCCTTTGCCGCAGACCACACCTTGGTGATCTTTTCCGCCGAGATGTTAGGTTGCTGGATGATGTTCGGGTTGACGTGACTCACTTGTTCGTCGTCCACGATTTTTCTCACCTGAAAATCGTCCACAGCAACGATAGGTCAGACATACAGCGAGGGAGCGAGGGAAGGAGCAACGCAGATCATACACGTGTTCCTTATACCTACCTACAAAGATGACGCCCCCCGGACGTGCGAGAAATTGAACTCGATTTCGATCCGAAAACAAAAAAGAACGGGGGGAATGCACCTCTCTTGCGGGAAGGCCCAATGTCGGTCTGTTCCCGGCCTGTTATTTTTCTTCTGGCATAAAATATTGCCTGCCTATCAGTGCATTCTTTTGAAAACTTTCAGCGCGTTTTCAATGTCCTTCACTATAATAGGCAACGAAGCAACTACAGCAGTATCTACAGCAGTATGGTCGTCGGCGTCAGCAACAACTACGTAATTCACCGGTAGACGTCAACAGCAGGTTGACCCGCTCTTGGGGTTGGATACCTAATGGCATTTTACCTAAAACGATGGCGCGATCGTCCGTGGACGTTATGAGGTGTTGAATACCATGCCTAAAAATAACTATCACTGAACGGCATGTGTTGTCAACATACACTTCGGCAACTGTTTTTGTACAACGTTCTCGTCCGATCCGTGCCAATCAACCCCCTACCCCCAGCACGCACATGGTGGCGAGGGTCTCGGAAGCGGTCGGTGACCTCTGTCCACAAGTGTTTCCGCGGCCCAACTGCTGAGGTGTCCAGCTCCTGCCGGGTCGCCTGCAAGCGGCTGTTGATGACAAGTGGGCGGATGGAGTCTTCGCACAGGATCCCAACGAGCCGCATCATGCAGTGTGGGCCCTTGCGCTCCGTGATGCTGCCACTTCCTCCGGCGGAACCACCCCCGTCCGGTCCGGCTGCACCACCCGTCGACGAACTCCCGCCGGCAGAATCCTCCAGTTCCGGTGTGTTTTCCTTCTCCATGGCGTCGTAAAGGTCCGCCACACTGTAGTCCACACCCTCGACTGTAAACGGTTCAGTTCTGTCACGTGCTAGGGCGACCATGTTGATAACGCCTCGAAACATAAGCAGCGCTTTCGCCGGGATGACTCCCTCCTCCCCCTCCTCCTGCTCGCTGCCGCGTCCAGATTTGCCTGCGCGAACGCCCGGATATGAGAAAGCGGCCCAGACAATGAATACGCCTTCGCATGAGAGGAAGCCTCAGGTGTCCACGCCCAAGTTTGGCAAAACTANCTCCTGCTCGCTGCCGCGTCCAGATTTGCCTGCGCGAACGCCCGAACGCCCGGATATGAGAAAGCGGCCGAGACAACGAATACGCCTTCGCATGAGAGGAAGCCTCAGGTGTACACGCCCGAATTTGGCAAAATTGTACATATTCCTGGCGACTGTCTTCCACAAAACATCGTTCACCTTACCTTACTTCCTCTGGGCGTGAGAGGACAGAACACCCAAAGATTTACCGTATTGGTCGGTGCACAACCGATTGAATATCGTCAAGAAAGCATGCCGTGTGGTACGCTGTGAGTGCCTTCAATATCCTACCTACTGGGGAAAGTAAAACAGCTCTCGAGCACGCCGTGTACCTGTTACTGTACATAGAGGTTGATTTGAAGCGGGCACTACACACACACAGCAGTAATTTTGTTTTGTTTCCTCTGCGCACACTGCGTTCAATTGCAGAGTAATTACCTATATTTTGCCGATACTCTGTGTAGTCTGCTGGGACTCTAATCGACGACGAATCTACACAATACCAGCATCTCACCGGCTGCGATAGCATCGAGGTCGTCGAAGTACGGAGATGGCCGTTTCATGTTGGCGTCGAGAGATCGCAGGGCCGCCACCAGGACACCCTTGCTCTTCTGCGACATCCTCGGGATCTTGCGGTGCCCGCATGTCCGCTTCAGAAAGTGTGTGGCCCAGTGTGGGTAGTCCTTGCCCCGGTCTTTTTTGGCACTCGCGTGATGGGATGCTGCTGCTTTGTTCTTCCCTACGACGCTGCCGCCGGCGCTCGCCTTTCGCTTGCCGTGGTTTGTGGTCCTCGTGCCCGCTCCCCCTCCCCCGGTCATTGCTTCCCGAATTTCCTTTTCGAACACGACATCGCCCGACTGTGAGCCACTGTCCGACGGAGCTGAACTGTCCTCTAACGAAACATTGCTGCCGCCACTTGACGTCGGGCTGCCCCCCCCCTCGTCGTCGTCGCCGCCGCTCTCCGACTCGGTCCACTTTTTTTGTGGGGCGTCGCCAAATCGCTTGTCGTTGAGAACCTTTACTAAGGCCGCCTGACGAGCTTGCCGATCAGCGTCGTCCGAGAAGCCCGGCATCATCACCGCGCCAGGTGGAATACCCTGTTGTGTACCAGTATGGGGGGTCACCCTGCTGTGAACGGCCTGGCGGGCCATGCCGCTCGGTGCCCGCTGTGCCGCGCCAGCAGGCGCGGTCTGGGCGACCCCATGCCCAGCAGCAGCACCACTTCCACCAGCATCCTGCAGTCTCAGAGGCAACGATCTCGCTCTAGATGGCCGGCCTGCCGCTGCTACGGCGTTGTTGTTCATGGTGTGGGTTTATCGCGTCTGCTGTGGTATGCCTCGGGCCTCTCGCCTGGTCGTGACCGGTGTGTGTACGTCGGCATCGACGCTTTCCGGGATTTTGAAAAAAAGGCGCGCCTCTGCCGATTAGAACCAATGGAAAACCCGGAACTGGTTCCGTGTTGAAAATTACGAATCGGTGAAAAAAAAAACGGATCGATAAGAATCAGCCTAAGAGCCTTGGTGGTGCCGTATGCCACATTCGCTTCGTCGAGTACGTTTGACTATCCACCTCTCGCCTCTCCCTTTCGAGCCAACCCGTGTCGCGAGCATCTATCTGCCCTCGACACGATGATTTTCGGAAAAACGCAACCTTCCCGTAATATTTTTTCTGAGACCTTTCGTTGACTGGCTGCCGCCGCGTTTGATGCGAGGTGATGCATCATCACGCCAGCCTATTTTCTAAAACGGAATCTCATTGTTGCGAAATAGTAATGCACGCGAAGCCAATATCTCTAGTACGTCAAGTGCAACAACTCTTCCATAGGCAGTAAGTAGCCAGCTTTACCCTTGTCCCCCCCACACTGTCAAGGGGACCACACTACTTTCTCTTGAGAAACGCCCTACTTCACTATTACCAAAGCAAATAAAGTCGTGGTGAAAGATTTTGCGATGCTGTACTATAGACTGCTATCGGAACACGCACATGAAACTCCTAGGATATCTATTTCCTCGGTGGAAGCCGTGGAAAAATGCCACGGAAGCTGATAGTGGAAGCCTTGGAAGCCTCCATGGAACCTCGTGAAAGTTGCCACAGAAACGAGGGTGATGAAGATGATTGGGCACGTGCCTGTCCGCTTCACATGCAGTTACGACGACTCTTGTCGCCAATACGAAGCTTAGTGCTGCTGCTGCTGAGGTGGAAGAGAAAGGGCGGGTGGACAAGCGACAAGGGACAAACAGAGGGACAGGGGGGAATTATTATCACCGCGATTCTTTCGAGGTGCCAATTTCTTCCACACCTAGGTTCACATCTACCGGTACTGACTTAGGGCCGTTTTAAACTGACCGACTTTTTGTCAAAATTTTTGAAAGTGTCGAAAAAATGGAACCTGTATGTAGGCGTTTGTCCATTTTTTTCAAAAATATTTGGAACGAAGTTGGGCGCGAAAACTTTGCTCCACTTCGTTCCAACTTTTTGACAACCCTCTCAAAGTATTTGGAGCACTTTCCAAATTACCCTTGCAGAGGCACGCGAGGGCTGCTGCGTCTGCACCACGAGTGCCCCTCACCGTAGAAAGTCAGCTAGGGTTGTGTGTGAGT